ATCGGCCGACCAGCCGGCTCTGTTTGTCCCGAGAGATGCGACGAATATCTTTCGATATTGGAGACTTGTCGCCCGCGGGTTACCAGTTGTACACACCTCGCTCGGTCGTCTCCTGAAGTTCAATCGTTGGACGTCGACGAGACGGTCGATCTGTGAAGTGGTTCGCCTTTTGGGTCGAGACCGAGATTTCGCAGCTTGTTCGGAGCCAGTATGTGCGAGTGGGGAGAATGCGGCGGCCTCGGTACTGTCCCCCTAGTGGCACTGATAATCTACATGAGCTCTTGCGTCATGCGGATATATCCACTTGTCAAGTCGAATGTCCACCGATGGGACTAGCGACGACTCGAAAATTATTCTAGGCTCGCCGATCCCGTCGAGGACATAGCGTACGTCCATGAGTTCTACGGCAACGGATCAGCATGAGTTTTCTCCGAGACTGAACGTGGTCGGATTTCAGTGAAATTGCTGTGAGAATGAGAAACTGATGAGAGACGGATGAGACCGCTCTTCAGAGCACACGGTCCGACCAACCACAGCAATATTCCTGTTCAAACAATAATTCGGTCCTGAGGCTCTCTGCTCGTGGCGGATTGTCCGAATCGAGGACATCGGTGATGATATATAAGATTGGCGATTCATCTGACGAAGAAGGAGAAAGTCCACCCGAAGAGGACCGCAAGCTCTCGATGGATTGCTCTCTAAGCAATTAGTGGAGCGGTCTGCAAGCATGAATGTCCTCGCAAGAGTTTCGCTCGCTGACCGTCGATCTCTTCCCTGAGGACGAGCCTGTAGAGCTTCGGATCTTGCGCATCGCGTTGGCTTCCCTGACACGAGGAGGCATCGTCGAGCAGATTTCTCAAAGGCTCCTGACTGCAACGTACCCGACAGGAAGACTCTTGATCCTTATATACTGCCCGCTACTCGGATCCATTGTTGTGAGCGCGAACATTGTACCGGTTTCGGACTTTGAGACGCCTCCTGAAAGCTGGCAGTTTCCTGTTCAATTTCTCGCTGCGTGATAACTCTTCTCCTATTAACGCCTCTACGGTGAATCGGTTATCTCCAGCAGGAAGACGCTCCCTGTGTACTAGTAGTCGGTGAGCTACATTCTTCGTTTCCCTGCTCTTTTTCCGGCTTCTCCCACTCGAAATCATCGTCTCATTCTGAATCCGGTCCAGGAACGAGGACCCCGTCGGCTCGAGCGGCCTCCATAGCATCCTCGAAGCCTGTTCGAGCTAAGTCATCTCGTGAAACATTACTCCGCGAACACCGAAACCACGCCGGCTCCGCGCGGAACGGGACACCCACGAGAAATGGCGAGAGGGAGATTCTTTTCACAAATCCCGGATTTCGGCTCTAAGCGACACTCGACGAGGGAGGTTGATCCGGAATAGCTGGATACAACAGAAACGAAATGCGGCAACGGGAAAAAGGACAACGGAACAAAGAGAGGATGGCCAAATTGGCGAAAGCAATGTCCGGGTCCCGAAGGCAGAACATTCTGGATTTCTCTCCGAATCCCTCGAATAGGACAAGAGGGCTCCAATCTCGCGTACAAACGAAGCGGAGATACGCGACCGTCCTCTCGTCCGGAGCGTGTTCTATAGTTTTCTCGCCGCGGGAGCCTATCGCGGTGGATCAGGTATTCGTCAATCGATGGCATAGTTAATTGGCATCGCCTGGAACAGCTCCCTCTGAGGATCTTCCGCTAACCATATGTAACAGGGGCTCGATCAGAATGGTCGAATTCTTTTGCGGGTCGCTCAACGGGCTGATGGCCTGGGACCCCACAGCGGAGCACAGGGAAAAATCGAGGCACCGAGTTCGATGATGTTCTAGGGATCGGTTTACGGAGAACATATCATGGTCTTCTCCGCGGTCTCGAATCGTACTTCGATAAGTTCCCTCCAACGTCTCTCGACAGTGACCCCGAAGGTTCCCAGCTTTCTCGAAAGGAATAAGCAGAAAGGGGATAACCACAGACGGAAGCTTGCGACCAGGGTTAAGGCGAGCATTTCGAGTGCCGAACGAGCGCGGCGAGATGGAGCTCAGTGAAGGCGACAGAGTTAGAGATAGTCCAAGAAAGAATACTGAACGAGAACAAGCCCCGAATTAGAGGAAAACCAGAGGGAAAACGACATTGTGGGATATAACAAACTTTTTGTGTCACGGCCAGAAATAGAGGACATTTAGGCGGTAGCCACAATGAATCTGGGCCGCACGCTCGAGTGAGTCCATTCTGAAAGTGATAGGAGAGCAGAGAATGCTGCTCCCAGCAAACTCTCACGCCCTTCAGAGGACTAGCACGCCCCACCAGTTTACGTTGTGCATACTTTGTCCTATCCGTTTCTCACGGAGTCCGGGCGGACTCGATGATCCTGATCCGACAGAATCTCCCTAAACCTCCTCGTCAGATGCGGAACCATTCCGCTCATCGTTCTGTCGTTCTGCACAACGAGCGTTTTGGATGGCGGCACTCGAATACGTCCGTTGCTGGTCAGAAGCCTTCCATGGTGCAGAGACAATTTTAGCAAAGCTCTCAACATTAGCCGCGGCGTCATCTCCAGAGACAGGGCTTCGGCCGGTGCTGAAGGCTCCCATAGCGGACGGTTCGGCCGCTCGTACGGCCGGCCATCCACCCACTAGCTACTCGGTTGAGGGCGTGTGTGTGCGTGTCTGTCGAACAAAGGACAAGGAAGAAGGTTCCACGTCATTGGCTTATGGAGACCCTGTCCTCACTTGATGGCGGCAGCGATGGCTGCGAACGCAGCGAGCGAGGACCTCTAGCAGAAGAGAAGCCGCGACGGTCCCACAAGCTCCTATCCAAGTTTGTTACAAACTTTCGAAGACTTCCAAGCAAGCCAAGCGCGGCCATCGACAAATTACTGGAACCGACCACCGACACGACGACGACAACGTTGGCTTTCGAGGCTTTCTTGGGCGATCATGCGCTTGTGATCAGATTGAATTCACGGTGTCCTGGCGGGGAAAAAATCTCGTCCTCCTAGCGTTGCCTATTGCGTACGCTCGCGATAACCGACTTCAAAACCCTAGCCAATCCGCCGGCCGACGTACCACACACTCGGGAGCCTGTCGTTCATTGTCGTAAATAAGCGCGACCAGCCAATCGCCGCGTTCATTATGGCCATTTACGCGAGTCGCTATAGCCCCAGCCGATGGTCGTGCGAGTTCTCTTTTATTAGGGGGACGTTTTTCATACAGAACCGGCGATGTTTCCCACGGACGTTAGGGTTTTGCTCTCACTCGGAACGTTCCTCCACTCAGTACGGCCAGCCTCTGATGTTCTCGATGCGTCTTCTCCGTCGTCGGTCGGATCTGGCTTCATATAGACAATCCGGATACTGCTCTGGGACTTTTTAGCACGGATAGACGCAGCACCACATGGAACGCAATTCTCTGGTCTGGGGTTTCGTTTCCGGCTGCGATTGCAGTCTCCTTTGCGGCTACAGGAGATTGAGATTGGCTGAGAGGGGTGGGGCGATGGCCGAGTGAAATATAAAACAACGGCGGCGTCTTTCCATTTCATTATCGCGGGGCTCCAAAAGAGCTTCTTCAAAAGACCTCACGCCACCTGATCCACTCGTTTTGAGCTCGGTTCCGCCGGGAAGGAGCCGGCCTCAGATAGACTCACCATCATGCTCGAGTTTCTTTTCTGAATTCCTGTGCAGTCGGACAAGTTCGCCAGGCGTGACATTAGGACTCTGAAGCGGAGTAGTCGGATATGAGGGCCTGGGGTCTTTGAGTGAGGTGGGGTGAACCCGTAAAAAGAGCAAGGGTTTTGCAAATGGAGAGAAACGTTACTCGAGCCTTCATTTCACTCAACGGAGTCTCCGTCGCGTATCCTGGAACACGGCGCTCATCCACTTCCTCGCTCCCGGACCCACAAGTCACTCAGTCATCCTCTCGATCTCCTGTTCTCCAATAGAATAAGTGAGCAGATTCTTCAAAAACGAATGGGTGAGAACACCGTCAACTCCCTTTATGCTTTCTCGAAGAATCTCTCCGAACCCGGAGGGCTCAAGTCGCGCTGGTTCAAGGGACTGTGTATGAGGAATCTCGGCCGATCGTTTCTGATCGGGAGGAACTCGCAAAAGGATTGCATTGACCGTATCGACATTATCCGGGTCCGGTAATTCCTATGAGCAGTATCGCGTTTTCTCATATCGACATTACCGACACTGAGGACCGCGTTCGGGTCCTCCGGGGAAGCACACAGCATCGAGGCTCAATCAGATACTTCTGGGAACGACCGACATTTGGCTTAGCTATAATAATCTCGGAGTGAGTGATAATGAGATGAAATCCGATGGGTCTCAGGCGGTCAGGACAACCATCTCGATAACGTGTCCATCGTCGAGGTAAATTTAACACCCTTTGGTATCCTCAAGGACGACGCTGCGGCAATCAGTGAATGCCACAACGAGGAATCGTGGGCTCTCGTGGCACAGTGCATGCCCACAGCAAACATCTGGAATGTGCATGAAGCCCGTGGGCTTGCTCACTGGACGCTGAATTATTCCGCTGCTCGTGTCGTCGTCGACTACGAAAACGAACTCATTGCATTCCCTTCACGGCCGTCACCCCGAATCGCTGAGTGATGAGCGAAAGTCACTGTGCTTATAAAGAATGCTGGCTCGGTCCCGTCCTGAAGCAAGGCCGCGGCCCGATCATTCGCTCCGACGAGAAACATACTCTTCCCGGACACAGGAAGAATCCCGGGATCGGAATTTCTTGGAAGCTCCGTCGTCGATTTTCAAAGGGTTCGATAAGCTTTGGAGGAATAAATCCGGTTGCCGATTTTTGTGACGACTTTTCCTGTTTTCTCTCCGAAGTGCCCGGTTCTCGCTCGCGCGGATATTAAAATTCATGAATTCGCCCAGTTTACTGGCTTGGAGTTGCGCCATACGGAGTCAACACGTTTTCAACTTTAGAACGCCGGGCCGCCGATATGGGAATTCAAAGCCAACCCTCCTGTGGAGTCTCCACTCTCTACGGATTCGAAGCGGGTCGCTCCCCATCACCGGCGTCGCAGTCTGGTCGCCCCTATTGAAATATGTATGTAGGAAGAGACAAGTTCGTATCTTCTTTGTTCACGAGGTGAAATTTGAGTTCATCGCGCCCCTCATATCTCTCTCAGATACGCGCACGACGGCTTTTGAGGGCATATCGTCGCGGAAACTCTCAAGAATGTAGCTGCCTCCTCGTCGGCGAGGGACCTTTCAGCGTCTCCAAAAGAAAAACGAGAAATGGGCCCGGAGCAAACCCTGAAGCTGTGGCTCGGCGGGAGTAGGCGAACTTTCTCTGGTTTGATTTTCTCTCAAGGAGGGTGACCTCGAGAAATAAGTGCTGCTGGTCGACCGAGCGATTGCCAGAGGTCTGAGGTTGTTAGTCACCTTAACGAGAGACCTGTGCGACAGCTGTTACGCCTTCGGCCACTGGCGGGAATTCGGTCATCGATCGACAATAATTGGATGATATTTATGTGTCTCGCGAACGAATTTATTGTGCTCCGAACAGGGCCATCCCATATCGATACGCGAGAACAGACTATGGCAACCCGAAACTTTGAAATATTCAAATCTAACGCTCTCCTCGAATTCCGCGAGAGGAAGCCGGACGGGTTGTGGTTTGTCGAGTCGAATCGTGGAGCATGGAGCATGCTCAGCGAATACACGAGAACTCACTGCAATTCCAGGCAGAGCCGCAGACGCCCGGAATTGCCACGCTGGAGCTCTGCCGGCGAGCTCTGATATAGACGTTTTATTCGAGTTTACAGCTCTCGCTCCCACAAAGAAAGTGTAACTTGTTAAAGTGGGTTCAGGTGGTGATGGCGTCGGTCAGTTCCAAGGAGAACGCGATAGCAGCAGGGAATAAAGGAGGGCTCTGATTGGATCGGGACGTGATCTCTGCGTTATTGAATTGTCAGGCGGCGTCGAATCACCGAGAGGGATCTCCGAGGAGGAGATCGTCTCAGAGAACATCTCCAGCGCTCCGTTCATTTCCCTGAGCTCACGATCGATGCTGGACCGATAGAAGGCTTGACGGGTCTGTCCGACTCCGTTCGACCGCGCGACACCTCGAGAGAGGTCCTGTGAGTCGTCAGGCGAGGTCACAAACTGCAATATTCCGCAGTGTGTCGAGCAAGCTAGATATCCCTTGGGAGTTGCTCAAGAGTATGGAGTAGTAATCTTCGATTCTAATATGTGCAGCCTCCGGAGCAATCAGGCCTGCTATGCCTTTCGAAACTTTGCACTGTCCACTGCAAACGGCAGCGGTGCCGACGACCACGCCGGTTCTTCGTCGTCTGGCAGCTGGACAAAGCCCGCGGTGGAACCGCCCGGGCCTGCCAGTTAATCTCTTTTGTCTGGACAGACACTAGTAGCGAGCTATTCCGACCACGAGCTTGTACGGCCTGCAATAATGCCGAACTGACCGAGCGAGCGGACGGACGGACGTCGGTCCGACGAGTGAGAGTCACAAAACTCTCCCGATGTCACCGGGAATGCCGCTGCCATGTTCATTCTACGAGTTCCGTCCGACCCGCGCAACACCCCTTGCCTCGCCCTGCCCTCGCACTTCTCCAAGCTTCGTTCTCCACCTTCGAGTCAGCCTTTTTGCCTCCGGACTTCGGTGTTCCCCCCAGAGTGGCAGCCGCCTCGACTGACTGACTGACTGTCTGTCTGACTGCTCAACGAGTAAGCGAACGTCAGTCTCTCGGCCGAATACCTGACTTTCTTTTTTTCCCGCGCGCAATGTCCTATTTGTATGGAGATTCATCCTGGCAGCCTTTCTGGTAGCGGCGGCGTCGGTAGAGGCGGCTCTGCCTCAGCCGTTCCAACTCCATCTCTATCAGCGTGATTCCTTCGCTGAGAGCCCTTGGGGAGCGTCCCGTACGGTGCGTTCGTTCGTTCGTGCCCTACGTACGCTTGTACGTTCGTTGGTGGCTCGATCCGTCGCGAGCGAGTGGGTGCCGCCACCGCCTCTGACGCAGCGGTTCTCCGTCGCAGCAGAGACTCCGTCGTAGTGAATAGGAGCTGCTTCTGCTGTCGCCGGATTCTCCAGCGACTCGGGAAAACCGATACGAACTAGTTGGATACTGGACTGGAGGAACGGTTGAATGATAATAAAGCGGAGATACAATGCCCTGACCGAGAGGAACGCTTATGCAAGGGCTGCCTCGAACAAGGTCAATGGTTGACATCAGCAGCCGCACTCACTAATGTCGTTGCTTGTAATCTGCTTTGCGACATCGCTGTTCGTCCCCAGGGGAGGGGGCGGCGACTGGGGAACGTGTACGGCGCAGACGTCCGGGAGGGCGAACGAGGGAACTCGACTTCGCTTCGCTTGTCAGTCGTCGGCCTCTGTTTCTGCGGATTCAGACGCTGAAACAGCATCTGCTCGGACTTTTAGTGCTCTGTCGCGCCTGTCGCTGCGCGATCGGGAGAAACTCCGCCGATCTCGATTTAGAGACGCTTCGATTTATGTAGACCACAAAACAACGTGCCGCGGCATCAAAGCGCGTAAACGTAGAGACGGACCGGAAGGCACACAGTGCCGGAGATGGGGAGCGTCTGGGAATGGGGAACGGACGGAATACCCACGGAAGGTGAGGTTGTTGGTGGAGTTGCGAGTCACTACGGCAAACACAGAAAGACGGGGGAGGGACCGAGGGAACGGTCGGGAGAAGTGCGGGAGCGATGAAAGCTCACGCTCGATCAGATCTTAGTGAGCCGTATCTGATTGACGTTGCTGCCCCGGTCGACGCCATATCCGACCCTCCGCTCGTAGTCACCCACCGGCTCAGTCACTCACTCACTTGAACGGTTGCTGGGTGGGCTGAGTTGCCCCGTGCTGAGGTTCTTTTGAGGTCTTCCCCGACTCGCTCTCTGTCATCCCCACGCGTTTTCTGCCGTTCTTATGCGCCCATCGTTCTCTCGATCGCTCACTCAAGTCGATATCCTTTCGGTCTTCTCTCTCTTCCTCCCTCGTTCGCCGCCATCACACCTCTCTCGCCCTCCAGCTCGCGTCCGGTAGACGAGCTGATTTGCCGATTTCCAATAAGAACACGCCGTTGTGCGGCTCCGTTCCCCCGATGTGGATTATCAATTTTCCTGCGAGTGGCGTTTCATGAATGGACAACAACGGCAACGACAGCAAGCGACACTGACTGAGCCGACGGCGTGTGATGCGAGTAGCTGTTGCTGCTCTGAGTGCGAGGAGGGGACGGCGAAGGAAAAAATGGTGGGGGAAAGGGGCGGTCGGTCGGGGGACCCTCAAAAGGAATTGAAATAAGCTGCGCGCGCGGGGGAAGCAGCGAGCAAGAAAAAGAACATCTCATCGACTGAATCGAAGTTCCAACCACGCGCGTCAGCTGTTGCCTCTAGCGCTCTTCGACCAGGACTGGAATTCTTTTCTTCTTTTTTTTGCTTTCTGTCCTTGTGAGTGACTGAGTCTTTCTCTTGCGTTTTGCTCTGCTCTCTTCTGTTGTTCCCGCCTTTCTCTGACTTTATCCATCCTATCCTGGAAAGCGAGAGTGTTTTGACGACTGCCGAAATTCCCCACCGCGTCGTTGTGCCGGCTCCCAGGATTTCTGTCCCTAGAGGGGCGCCTGCTCTGTCGCCAACTTCGTGGCCGTCCCTCGAAACGAGACTAAATTCGAGTTGACGAACTTACATTTATCGCTCCGTGTCTGAGCCTCCCCTCTGGAAAATAGTTTCGCCTAAACTGATTCCCTCTCTCTGTCTGCGTGTGTGATGCATGGCTCACCGGATGCTCTTTTCGGAAACAAGAAACATTCGTTTCGGCTTCGACGCACGGACGAGCCCTCGACAGGCTTTCGAGCACAACGTCAAGCAAAAGAAGACAGACCGCTCCGAGCCGTCGTCATCGACGTCGACGCCGAGGAGAATAATCCCATAACGCGGGCGCGTAGACCAGCTCTCGAGCCACCAGGGTAAAAGCCGGAACGTGATTTTCATGAGAAAACCTGGATGCTCGCAGACTTATGCAACACACACGCAGCGGCTGCGTCCCAGTGAGGGAGCATCTCACAATCTGGCATCTTCTGTCGCCGTCCGGGCTAACATCAACAGCGAGCAACGCAACGCTGGTAACAATGGGAACGGCATAACGGTGCTTCTCCTACAGCCGGAAAAATTGCCCGCCGAGGCCGAACACGTCTGGCTCTGGAATCCCGCTTCGTCCACTGGGAGATTCAGGTCGCTCCATCCGACGACATCCTTAGTCGTCGGTGTTTGTTCCCGACGTCGACCGAGCTCCCCTACCTCGTGTGGACGTGTTTCTGTCTCGCGGTTTCGTCTTCCAACAACGAGTTCGAAAAGTTCTCCTCATCGCTAGCTGTCTCCATATCCCCCCGATAAATATCCCTTGGAATGGAGAGGCGGAGCGAATGTCTCCGCGTTTCGCAGCCAATTTCGCTGACGTTCGCCCATTGTCGGAGGTCGAGAGATGGACAAAGACGGACCGTTGCCGTGAACTCGACCGACCCTCCGAAGACAGGACAAGCGAGACAGCCGACTCCTGCCCGGAGGGCAGGTCGTGAGGCGCTGACAATTTCATTTTCAATTTGGTAATCCCTTCCTTATTGAGGTCTGACAGCCCGCGGCACTTGGAGTTTCTTTTTCGATTCGGAAGAGCCCCTTCCCCGTACGTTATCCTTCTAACTGGACTGGTGGTCACAATCCCTTCGTATTTTCGTCCATTCTATCGTCTTGCGGAAGTGTCATGATTTGCTACCTCCGATATTGTGTTGACATTGTTGACACCACTCGACCCCAGTGGATTTAATCACTCGCCGAGCTCCGAAGCAATCCAGACTCGACCGCAGGAGGTCCCCGGTCAGAAGCCTTCGGGTTCCCTCGAGATCCAAGTTTCCCATTCGGAGGTCGTTTCGAGCATTTCAACTCTCAGCGGGGACGATATTTTCGAGGTTCCTATAAAAACCTCCAAGAGCATATATAAACCGATCGCCGTAGATACCCCTCCGTACGCTCCTGGGCGTAAAG